TGCATAGAGGTCTCTCATTATTTGCAACCAAGGCAACTGCTCTTTCTTAGGATGTGTTAGGCATCCAAAGGAGATGCAAAAGCATCAAAAAATCTTTATTGCTCAAATTGACCCCCACAATGCCTTGTATATTCAGGAGGTCCTTGAATTGGTGGATAGTGAAAAGATGTCAAAGCATGACTTGGCTGTGTAATAATTAGACATGATAGTTCAGCATGGAAAATGAGTAGGTTCACACAAAGAACACAACTCTTCTATGAGACATGCTTGAAAAACAAATGACAATCTTAAATGTCAGCAGTAAATGGAAAATGTAGGTAACAGGTTTAAGGAACACAGCAAATTTGTATGTGGGCTGGGGGTGGTGTGGAAAGTTGTGGAACCTAATCTAATAGCACAGCAGTGTGCACGCCTGTTATGTGACTTCCCATTAAGCAGTGTAAGCAGCCAGTCCTGTGTGACATGATGAACTGTACAACTGACACAGTAATAGAGTTAAAGGGAGCCAAATTGTAATTACCACTGACCTTCAAAGAAAAAAAATAGGGAGGAGGGCAAACAACATTTCCTGAAGATGCTATAGGACCCTGGGCTTACAGAAGCACCATCACAAAGACATAACAGAAATGTCCTTCATCACATACATGACTGCTCCTGTTACAAAGAATGGTTGACAACACAGAAATGCATCGTTCTAGTGAGGATCTATAAAAAGCTTCCACAGCCAGCAGCAGATACCACAAGGAAGCCAACAATTTTGAAATGTATGAGATACAGAACTCTACCCTTGAGGTACTCATAGACTGTATATGACCTTCCTAAATGGAACACAGCAATAAAAACAAAGGTCCACTGCTGTTCCAGAGTAATGTCAGTCTGGCACAAGCTGATCACAGGATCATAAGGGCTCTCTGGTGGGCTTAGCTCTGTATCATCTGAAGTGCTGATGACCTTGGTTACCGTCATCAGCCTGACTACACTGAAGTCTTGTGAATGCAACCACTCTCATATTTTGATTTTCTTCAAAGAGGTCAATCCCATGTAAGACAATTTCTACCCCCCCCCCCCCCGTTCAGTTAGACTGAGGGAATTTAGAAAGACTGAGGGACATTTACTAAGATGGATGAGTTCTGAAACAGCTGTGCATGGCAACCAACCCGCTTCCAGCTTTTCCTTTCAAAAATAAAGGGTTACGCTGACCATAGACTGTTAGTGTTTTGTTCTTTTTGTTTGGCTTTCTGGCTAACAGATTCCTTGGTCCACCTTGTTTGTGTGGATGGAGGAATCTGTTTTTTTTCCCCCACCCCCAGATCATTTGAAAACCGCATTCATCTGCACCCTTCTATTTTCTGAAATGCCATCCTGCAACAAAGAGAGCTCAGACAGCTCCTATTTAGTCAGCACAGTCATGTGCCCATGGTCACCATTATGATACTACACAGCCTCCAACTGTGTACAGATGTTTTTCAATGCTACACTGTGGGATTTACTAAAGCTGCAGAGTGCAGAATCAGGCGCACTTCTGCATAGAAACCAATCAGCTCCCAGGTTTTACTGCCAAAGACTAATTGTACTGAGGCTAGAAGCCGATTGCAAAATCAGGCTCATTTCTGCCTAGAAACCAATCGGCTCCTAACCTCAGCCTCAGTACAATTAGGGTTTGGCAGTAAAACCTGGAAGCTGATTGGTTTCTATGCAGAGGTGAGCCTGATTCTGCACTCTCCTACTTTAGTATATAAACCCCATCTGTCATGGGTGGCAGAAGATAATCAAAGGACCAAGTGCTGTGGTGAGAAGGGGATGTGCAGAGAGTGCTAGAAGTTCTTTTTAGTTTTCCTAAAAAGGTGATCTGACCCTTTAACTGAACAAGCTGAAGACGGGCTGGTTGGTTACCACGCACAACTTCTTCACATTCTATCTGCTCCACTTTTAGTAAATTCCCACCAGAGCACAGATTGATTGATTGCTAGATAGAAGTAGGATCCTGGGCTATGTGACAAGATCTCAGCACCTACATCCAGTATAGAATGGAACCAAATGGATTCCAGAGGGACAGACCCATCCCTGGTCTAAGGGACGAAGCGGAGGCTTGTCTAGAAAAAAGCAATCAGAAGGGAAGCCTTGTGCTGCTGCTGTTTGGAGACATCTGTAACACTCCTCCCCAGGAGTGGGGGGGGGGGGGGGGTCCGGGGAAGCTGTGTTTTAAGCAGAAGGAAAATGCTGCTCCCCTCAGGGGCCCACAAAAAATGATGGTTATCTGTGTGTTCTGTTCACACATCAGTTAGCTTTTAGGAGGTGCATAGAAATGAAGTGTAACCGACATTTCCATAAAAAAAAAAAACAAAAAAAAAAAACCATTCTAACAACGTCAAGCACCATCCCCCAAAGCCTGCCCAACATGGGCACTAGACTGCAGAGTAGGGTTGCATAGATATGGTTTTTTTTTTTTTTTTTTTTTTTTACATCAGCGAGTACAATTACTTGTACACAAGTACTTGCCAACACCAATTATCGATTCCTTTGCGGTGCGATTTCAGCACCTTATAAAATGGGCAGGCTCAAATCGCACCCACAGGGAAAACATGCGATTGGCATTCCTGTTCAAATCACATGCGATCCTTTGCAGTGCGATTTGAGCCCATTCATTTTGCATGGGCTCAAAATGCACCGCAAAAAGTATTAGTTTCAGGTATCGGAGTACAAGTACTTGTGCGAATGCTTAGTATCGGTGCAACCCTACTGCAGAGAAAAGTGAAACATTTTCCACTAAAGACCCAAACACAAGAAAATCGTATGAAAATTTCTGTACAGGGCCGATTATCTGTTCGTTCATATAGTGCTTTCGACAGCCGATTCCGAAGAAAAAAAACTGAAGGTGATAGAAAGTTTTTACTGTATGTGAAAATCTGATTTTCGCTCAATGCGTAAAGCAATCATACAGAAATAATCCGATGGAAAAAAAAAAAAAAAACCACAGATGATCAGAAGCAAAGAATGACCCAGAAGAGGATGGCAAAAAACACAGAAATTGTAACGAAGACAGAGTATTTCCCTACGTAAGCTGAGAATTTTCATACAAGGTAATACCATTGTCGGTTACATCATGATATGCATCTTTGTGGAAAATCAGAAGATCCTTAGTCAAATTTTCTCCAGGCGTGTGCTAGGCTTTAGGGTAATGTGAGCCAAATCTAGGGCTAGCAGGGGCAGGAGTGTGTGTACATTGCACGTGTTCCCGCAACAATTCTTAAAGGCACCCCATGCATTGGAAAATGTGATGCGTTTTCAGGTGCATGAAACTGTATTGTGCAATAGCACCACTCTGTTCCATGCAGCTGCGATTCAAGGAAAAAAAGGGTCAGGGACTCTCGCTGCAGGATATGCAGGTCAGGAGCCCATTTGGAAGAATGGACTACTGAGCCCACACTAATGGGAGCCGTACCACATACTACAGTGTGACCCTAGACTTAAGCCTCGTACACATGATGACAATAGACCAATGATTGTCTGTTTTTTTTTCCTGCATGCTAGTCTCCATATCGAAAATGAAAACGTTGCTCAACTTACAAAAATTCTTGTATGACCGAATACAACTTCAGAAGTGATGTATTGTATTTTCGGACAAAACAGTACTGATTAAACAAAAAATCGTACGATCTGGTTCTGTACAAGAACAATTTTTGCATTTGTCCCTTCGGATAATTTCGGATGAATTGTCGTGATTGGCTCTCGAAAGCAGCGTACCAAAAATCAGATTATCGTACAATTGATTCAAAAGCAGTATTCTGCGTGTGATTGTGTGTACTAGTTAAAAAAAAGGGCCCTCCATTTCCGATTAGAGGCCTGGCAGCCAAGAGAGAAGCTGATCAGTGTTAAGCCTTGTACACACAATGAGAATATCAGGCGAACGATCATCCGGTTTTTTTTTGCATGCTGGTCTTGTATGGAAAATGAAAAGGTTTCTAAAGTTATGAAAATTTGTTAAAAAGTTGTAAGACCGAACACAACTTCGGAAGTATTTCTGGATGAAAACCATACGGATTAAACAAAAATTGTACGATTTGGTTTAGTACAAGAATACTTTTTGCTTTTTGTCCCTTCGGATAATTTTGGATGAACCGGCTCTAGAAATCAGCGTACCAACTATCAGATTTTCATACAATTGACTCTAAAGCAGGATTTTTTGTACGATTGTGTGTACTAGGCCTAACGGTCAAAAATAGTGCCCACCATTGCCGAAGAGAGGCCTGGCAGCCAACAGAGAAGGTGATCAGAGTGTGATCAGTGTTAAGTCTTTTACACACAATGAGAATATCAGGCGAACGATCATCCGTTTTTTTTTTTGCATGCTGGAAAATAAAGAGGTTTTACTGAAGTTATGAAAATTTGTTACAAAGTTGTAAGCCCGAACACAACTTCGCAAGGGATGTAATGTATTTGTATTTTCAGATTAAAATGAAAAAACGTATGTTCTGGTATCGTACGAGAAACATTTCTGTGTTTGTCCCTTTGAATAATTTCGGACGAAAGCAATGTACTAGCGATCAGATTATCGCACGATCGCTTCCAAGGCGGTATGTTTGTATGGTTTTTCTGATGGTGTGCACTGGGCAGGATGCACAAGTCCTGTGTCTGGGAGGCATCACACTCAGGATGTCATCAACTTCTCTATCTGTCATCTCAATGGACGACTCACATCCTGTCATCACATGCATACATCCTCCCCTCCAACAACATCCATCTAGAATATACACACAGATGAGATTATATATATATATATATATACACACACATACACACACATATATATATACACACACACATATAAATATATATATATATATATATAATATACAGCCCATCTGTGGGTGTTCCTATGTGTGAAGTTTTAGCCTTGCTGCCCCCATTCCATCAAGACAAAGCCCCCCTTTCTCTCTCCCTCCCCCCCCCACAACGACAGCTGTAACCTTGAGGCGGCACAGCCGGGCCCCCCTCCTCACCATGGCGAACCCGGAGAGCAGAGCCGAGGTGCGGCTGGAGGCTTTGAGCTTGGCCCGGCTCAGGTAGAGCTTCCTCCAGGACAGCGCCTGCATCGAGTGCTCGTTCAGACTCATGAGCTCCACGTAACTCCGGCTAATCCACTCCGGGTAGGACAGCTCCTCCTCCTTCACCTCCTGGGGGCGCGGGCGGGATTTCTGTGGCACCGCACTGCGCTCCGGGACCATTTGCCCGCCGCCTAGAACTGCGCGAACCCCCTCCTCATCCTACTGCCAGACACCCGCTACACAGCTACTGAGGCAACACAGGCTCCAAACGAAAGAGGGCGTCACCCGCTAATTCTGTACATTGCTACAGCTCAGCTTCCTCTAACGTCCGCCAACCAAGGCGCCTGTGACTTCCGCCAACCACGGAAACGGCTCTCTATTTCCGCCAGCCCTACTACCCATCCTACTGACTTCCAACCCCTTGGTTGGGGCGTGGCTATAACTTTGCTTCTTTACTTCCGCCAGCCAGCTGTTGGCTTGTACTTATTTCTGCCAAACAACATGCACAATGTGAGCTTTCAGTTGTAGGCATAGTAAAACAATGTCGTTTGTGCTTTTTTTTCTTTTTTTTAGGCCTCTTTCACACAGGCATTCCATATGTCTGTTTTTAATCTGTCTGTTTACGGATGGAAAACGGACCCCCATGTATTTCTATGGATTTAAGAATGTAAACGGATGAACATCTTTTTACATCCGTTAACATCCATTTTTTTGAATGGAAAAAAAGCCTATTTTTCTTCCGCAAAAAACCCCAGGAACAGACAAAAAAACGGATGTCAATGGACGAGAAACAGATGAAAACGGACATAAGAGGTTGAAAAACGGATGTAAATGGATTTAAACAGATGTAAACCAATGTAAACGGATGAAAAACGGATGTAAATGGATGAAAAAACGAATGTAAACTCATCTGTTTTTTCTTTGGAAAAACGTGACTGAACTGAAGAAAAAAAAACGGAATGCCTGTGTGAAAGGACCCTTACAAAGTTTTGGCAAATGCGAGGAAAGACTGAAGAGTCCAATTCTTCAATGCCTCATATGGGCCCTGCACAGCCCTCTATTGCCTTGTTATTTTGATGTACTGGGTGATCACATAGGATTGCCACCTCTTCCCTTTAAACCCGAACACATATTAATGACACAGGTTCTGTGGCTGATTAAAGTGCTAATCAAACTCACTCAGCCTGGGTTCACATATATGCAGTGCGGTATATGGCATGTGATTCACACAGTAACTGCACCGCATTCATGTGCAAATCACATGCAAATTGTATGTGGTGCGATTGGAGCCATACATTCTGTATGTCTCTAATCTCACCGCATCCGCACCAAAAAGGTTCAGGACCCTTTTTTTTGGTCCGCACTAGAATTGGATCGCATGGGTATTCACAACTATGCGGTCCGATTCTGCACATCACACCGCGTTTTGTGGACCAATTTCGGGGGGTTGTTAACATCTGAAGCAGTTCACATGAACGGTGCGATTGTGATGTGTTGCGGAATTCGCACAGAAAACACTGTGAATTCCACACTGCATCAGTGTGAACCCAGGCTTAGAGCCTTATCTGCAATAAATAGGCCTCAGAACCTGTGTAATTAATATGTGTTCAGTTTTAAAGGGATGAGGTTGTAACCCTATGTACTTTTAGTCCTCTTGCACACTGGACTTTTTACAGCTGCTGTTTTTGGCTTTTGACATTTTTTTTCTACAGCTAGTAAACCCCCCAGCATGTTATCCTATGTGGCCATGCACACATAGACTGTAGTCAACGTTTTTTGGCTGGAAAAAAAAAAAAAACAGAACTAGTGGGATTCTAGAAGAGTTTTTTAGCTGTAAAAACGTTCTAATGCTGAAAAACGTGGTAAATCGTGGTAAAACACTGCAAGCAGTCGTTTTTGGATTTTTTTTTTTACCCTAAAAAAATTTTTTCGGGGGGGGGGGGGGTAAAAAAGAACGGTAAAAAACCACAAACGCAGAGAAAAAAATGCAACTAAACACTAATGCAAAAGCACTAAAAAAAGCTGGAAAACTCACGTTTTTAATGTGACTTTACACAGCTAACAATACCAGTGTTATCAAAACATCCCGTGTGCATGGAGCCTTAAAGTATTTCTGAAAAAATGCTGCACTCAAATGACATTTACGTCCTTTTTTCCACACAAATAGAGCTTTCTTTTGGTGGTATTTGATTGCCTCTGCATTTTTAATTTTTTTGCATAAACAAAAAAAGACTGACAATTTTGAAAAAAAAACTTTTTGACTTTTTGCTATTAAACATGTCCAGTAAAAAAATGTAAAAATTAAAAAAAAATATTTCATCAAAAATTTAGGCCAAAATGTATTCTGCGACATGTCTTTGCTAACAAAAAAAAAATCCCAATACGTGTAAATTAATTAGTTTACGTGAAAGTTATAGCATCTATAAATGGCGGTATATATACTGGAATATATATATATATTTTTTTTATACTAGTATTGGCAGCGATCAGTGACTTACAGCAGGACTCCAGGACTACAGTGGCTATTCTGACACTGGGGGGGAACTGACTTAACTGCCACTGACATCCCCAGTGGACACTAATACAATGATCAATGCTAATAAAAAGCACTGACACTGTACTATCGGCACTGGGCAGGTTAACATCTAGGGCAATTAAAGGGTTAACTGTGTGCTGGGTGTGTTTCACATGTGCTGTTTTACTATGTAAGCATGGTGCTTTGTATTGCTCTTCTATGCAGAGCAATACAAAGCAGCATGCTGGTACTGATAGGGGAGAGATCTGTATTGTTTACATACAGATCTCTCCCCTGTCAGCGATCGCCAAGTGCCTGTGGGGAATCTCCTGCCAGGACCCGGTGAATTGACAGCTGTAGCCGGCAATGATGGTGCGGGTAGAGTGGCGTGCACGCATTCCCTACCCGGAAATGCAAAATAACATATATATATATACATGATTTTCTGCAGCCCTGCAGAAGTAGGTCTGCTATAAGGATGTCGGGAAGCCATTAAACTCACTTAGTGCCTTATTTGCAATGAATAGGCCTCAGAACTTGTGTAATTAATATGTGTTCAGTTTTAAAAGGATTAGGTGGCAACCCTATGTCCTTGCAAAAGTATTTCTGAAAAAAAAACATGGCAATAATAAAAGCCTAATATAAGAAAATACTCCTGCTAGATGTTTTTGTTGCGTGCACCCTGACGGGAGAGTCACCCTTTTTGCCCCCGTGACCATTGTCACTGACTCGTGCAAATACATGTTCTATAATTGTGGTGATGCATAGGAGACATAAAGGTGAACTGTGACAACAGCCTCCGTTTTTCTGAAACCCTCCCCCCAACATAGTTTATTAACTGGCGATCCAGCCAGTAAGTCTGATGTTTTTCCCATTCCTTTAAAGCTGAGCTAAAGACTCACCTTTCATCCAACAGTCCCCTTCCCTTGCCAGTGCTGGCTTCTTCTTCTATGTGCCGGTTTTCAGCCATCCTCCTTTACCGGTGCAAGATGACATCACTCCTGTGTATGCAAATGTAGCACCCTCCTAGGTAGCTAGGGGGAGCTAGCTCAGGTTTGTCAGCTAGGAAGGCTGAGACAGAGGGTTATTTCTTGTCAGGGCAGAGAGGCTCTGCAGGTCATTTCCTTGACACCTCCCTCTGCTCTAGAGATCCTTGATAAGATTCTATAAGCAGTGGGCGGAGGTGAGGAGGGGCTGGCCTTTTAGGGGACCATGGCCAATCCCCAAGCAGGAGGCTTTGCGTTGAGCCAGGGCAGCCCTTGAATGTGAGAGAGCCAGCTCAGCAGCAGGAGAGTTTGAGGGGAAGATAAAGTGAGAGGCTGGAGAGCAGGAGCTTGGGAGCGTGCCCAGATGAGAAGGGGCTCACCTACAGGCAGAAGAGCTGGAAAGGAGAAAAGCTCGGAACCTCATCAGCCCTCAGAGCGAGGACCATCTATGTAGAAGAGAAGGAGCGGCCCAGCAGAAGGCCTGAGAGCAGCCACCGACCCACCAGTTCACAGACAGAGGACTGAGTGAGTAGACCTACACCCTCTGGGCCAGAAAGGGGAAGGAGCACTCTAGTGGGAAACTGGATTAGCTTGCTAACCGGGACTGTCTTCTACTTAAAGTGACAGGCACTGGATCCCCTGCCCAGGGATTCACCCAGTACAGCTGGATAAAGGAGTATCTGGGGACTGGGGTAGTACCTTGGGAAATGCTGGATAGCTCTCCAAGAAGAGAATTTTTGCTGTTGAAGAGACTTGTACATAGTTCCAGGAAGATTATAATCAGTCGCCATTCCCTTGGGCATCCCATACATCCCTTACCCCATCCAAGGTATTCATCCCTTAATAAAATCCAAAAAAAAAAAACAAGCTCAAGTTACAGTTCGCTTTAACCCATGCACTACGGGAGCAGCTTCATTGCAAGGGAGGATTGTTTACAGTTGCAAGAAAAAGTATGTGAACCCCTTGGGATTACGTGGAGTTTTGCATGAATTGGGCATAAAATGTGCTCTGAACGTCATCTCAAAAAACAGATACATTCCCGGTATGCCAGGAAAGCTAACTGTCATATTTGCTTGCGCTGTCAACCAAACTGTCAAACAATCAAATGGCTGGAGTCATAACTGATCACATGTGCAGCACCATGGCAGTTGCAGATTAAAGAGAGGCTAAGATGGAAGCTTCCTCAGTGACTCAGAAGCTTCCTCAGAGCACCTGGATGTTCCACAGCACTACTGGCAAAATATACTGTGGACAGATGAAACCAAGATTGAGTTGTTTGGGAAGAACACACAACACTATGTGCGGAGAAAAAAAAGGCACAGCACACCAACATCAAAACCTCATCCCCACTGTAAAACATGGCGGAGGGAGCATCATGGATGCTTTGCTGCCTCAGGGCCTGGACGGATTGTTGTCATTGATGGGAAAATTAATTCCAGAGTTTATCAAGACATTTTGCAGGAAAATGTATGACCATCTGTCCACCAACTGAAGCTCCGCAGAGGATGGGTGTCGCAACAGGACAATGACCCAAAGCATACAAGTAATTCAACAAAACAATGGCTGCAACAGCACAGAATACGCCTTCTGGAGTGGCCCAGTCAGAGTCCTGACCTCAACCCTATTGAAATGCTGTGGCATGACCTTAAGAGAGCGATTCACACCAGACATCCCAAGAA